TACTTTTCTCCAAATTCTCAACCTTTTGTAGAATCTTGTTGAGTAACTTTGTGTTGTCTGGAAGTTCTTTTACTTTAGTTTCTAACGCTCGTACCTTTCTTGTTAACTCGGTTATGGCACTGTTCTCTACATTTACATCTGTACTCGTCATCTTTAAGCTTTCAGCTTTTGTCTGTTACATATATGGTGTCTTTTGTTCTCGTGGGAACTTTGTGCGCACACGCTCCAGTTCTTTTATCTCTTGTTCCACGGCCCTCAGTTCGGCTCTGAGTATGTCGAAATCACGAATACTTTCATACTTACGTTTCTTACTCTTTCGTCTCTGAGTCCCGTCCATATCTTACTTCTTAGCATTTCATAGGCTTGCATCCTATCTACAGCTCCTCGCTTGATCGCCTTACTTAGTATGTCCTCCAGTCTGCACCCATACGCTGCGACCGTCTCACCTGTTTCCTGCTTGGAATTATAAAATTGCTGAAGCAAGGTTGTACCACTTTCCACTATGCCATAAACCATCTCGAGTTTCTGCAGGATCTCCTTTAAGGTAGCATCCTCACCGAGATGCATAGCAAGACGACTTGCCTCTCCCTTCAAAGTCCGACGAACGCTTTGAAGCAGCAAGTCCTCGTGATACACTTTGTCTTTTATCAGGCATTTTACTTCGAACATCCAAGCCTCGAAACCCAAATCACCTTTAGAGGTTTCGCCTGTGAAGTTCGAGATTCTAGGGGTTTGGCGGAGTACAAGGGGCTTTATGTCAGTATTAGTTGGCTTCACGGGAAGGTCGTCTTTTTGATTTTTCCCGTTCCGTGGCGTGGAAGTATTCACTCCATTTACTGCATACGTTTCCGGTAAGGTAAAGCTCGTTGGAGGCAGGAGCCTGGTGGTTCCGGATGCCGTCTGATTCTGACTGGCGGTATAGACACGTGTTGGCGTTGGCGTCATTTGGTACTGAGTGCTTATTAGGTCATTTGAAAAACGAAAATCAAATGGATTTCCTTGATTATCGTGATCTATTGCCTGTACTGAAAACAATCCTGACTGTCTGAGAGCCATAACGGCCTCAGCTATATGAGTAATCTTGTTCTCGTCAAATTCACTACGCTCAGCCATATTATGTGTGGGATATTTAATATTACGCCCTGATATTATTAACAAAAAYATGTTTATACTTACCGACGTGAAACTCGGTTATCTTTTCCCATACAAAAACATCTACAACACAGACAGCTCCCTCCTTTATCGTGTYCAAGAGCAGAACAAGAGGCAAAGAAAGCAAACCAGAGGTGCAGTGGCGGCAGGCCAATCCGATGCCAATCAACGCACATAAGATAAAATGTCCCTTCTTACCTTGAAAAATATAACTTAATTTGATATTTCTTGAATTTATTATATATCACTTGCTCTAATACTAATCCATATAATAAGAGTAAGATATGATAATGTTCAATATTAAGGTGACTAATGAAACAATATAGCATAGCAGCTAATTAAAGACTTAACTAATTATCAGACTTAACTTAAACTTAAAGATGTTAACAWTTCAAATTCGGTTGTCCAAATGGCAAGTAAACGATGATTGTACAGAAAAATAAAACAAAAACAAATTAAATGTAATATGAATAGATAAATACTTAGCTACTAGTTCTTTTACAATAAATTGAGGTTTTTTTTAAACAAACTTCTTCAAACTTGGTTTAACTGTTCAATCTTGTGTAACTGTTTTTTCTTGTGCAACTTTTCTTTACGTATACTTATCAGGTATCCAAAGATTACTTTTGTGGCTGCTTTTCAAGATAAATCTCAATAATAACTTCGGAACTTTATCAGATATCCAGAGGTTTACTTCAAACGGCCACAGCTTCTTTACTTTGATAGACCCAAGTTCAGGACGTTCAGATAATTTCTTTTCTTTTGTCAGCTTGCGCTTCAGTATAGGTTTCTCCAAAAAATCGATTTAGTTCTTTCGACTTGGAGAGATTTAATACAACAGGGACTGTCCAAAGTAGAACAGCAGATCTTCTTTTGTGACGCTGATACTACTACTGTTCATAACTCGCGTTTAAAGTTCYTCTATATCCTAAGGATTCTGTAGGAATTCAATTATATCCTGCMATTCCAATTTTGATCTGTGGTGGCTCTTAAAGCGGCTTATCTTGAAGGCAACGTCTTCTAAGGACCACGACCTAACGTTCGGCGAAGTCCAAGACGTTTCCGATAGTACTTTACAGTTGAAGTCCCTTACCGGCGCCAAATGTAACAATCCTCTTTGTTAATCACTTTAGTTTCTCTGAGTTATGTTGGCTCAGACCAGCTTGTGAGTAGGGTGCTTCACAATAAAACTTCGCTATATTCCCCTTAGAATGTTTGCCGCTAAAAAATCACTACGAGCTTCTGATTCTGATGTTGGCTCAGACCAGCTTGTGAGAAGGGTGCTTCACAATAAATCTTCGCTATATTCCCCTTAGAATGTTTGCCGCTAAAAAATCACTACGAGCTTCTGATTCTCGATCCAGCCGCATGGTCTGCTCTTAAACACCCAATCAATCTCCAGAGACACCACATACATACATAAAACTCGCTTCGCAGCACAACCGTGAACACATGATGCTAATGACTTTGGATTCTTGATTTCATTATTCAATTCAAACATTCATTATTGAAAACGAATCTTCAATACTAAAATAATAATAATAGTTTTGAAATTTGATTAGCTTGGCTCATAGAGTGCAAACAATTAATCTGTGAAACACTAATTACTAAA